ATATTAAAAACAGAGATGTCGCCACGAGTGTTTATTCTGTCATCCGATGATGGATTATTCCATTCTGTAACACTTTACGGAATATATGTCATTCAATAGATAAAAGTGATATTAGAACGGTCAAATTCCGTAATAGGAGTAGAAAAAATGTATTACATTTGCAGTAGTAAGTAAGATGATAGTAATAAACAAAAATACCATATGTTTGAAACAAGAAAATATTATTTAAATTATATGAAACGATGGGTTTGGAGTAAACTTTTATATCGATGTTATCGATGATGAAGATATATATATATCCTGTAACATCGATATAAAAATATATGTGGTTTTACGTAAAGATGATAATTGTATTACAAAAATGATTAAACGTTTATAGAAACTAAACCTAAATAGGTATCATAATTACATTTGAGCCAGATCACGGTGGACCCTCCATTTTACACTTGGTAACTCTCTAAAACTGAATTAGTCAAAAATGACAAGTTACTACAGTTATTAGTGGCTGCTTTTTCACTTATACCATGGTTAACCATGGGATACCATGATACCTCCAAGATTTAACAGCCAATTTTTATGTAAAATTGCCCCCTGAATCCAAAAATATGGTCAAAAATTATAAAAGTAGAGGAGTTTTTAAGATATAGTCAATTTCATATTATATGGAAAATTGACTTTAGATATAAAATATAGAATATATTCTACTTTTCTAACTTTTGACAACCTTTTCGGGTTTAGGGGACAATTTTTCATGGACATTGACTGCTAAATGTTCGGGATGCAAATTGCTATTGACGAGAATTATTAGTGGCTGCTTTTTCGCTATGACAATTATTCATTTTTGACTAATTCATTTTTAGAGAGAATAGAATTTAAATTTTAACTATTGATGTATTAAAATTTAAATTATTATAATCATTAAAATATGTTTTTTTTTTAATTTAAATTTTAATAGCGTTTTTTTAACAAAGATTATTATTAAATATTGTTAGTAATAACTACTAATGATTGATGTATTCAAATTTAAATTATATCACCAATTGGAACGTGACCTGTAAAACATACTTATCTAAATAAGTATCTAAATAAATTGATTAACAAAAATATATATTGATAAGATGTTAATAGTAAACGATATATAAATAATAATTAATTTGATGCATATGACCTATAATAGATGCCTGTAGGGATTTTCCCACGTAGATAAAATTATAAAAAATACCAAGTGTGTTTTTAAAGGATTTTATGATAAATATCACTTATTGATGAAATTTAAAAATACACGTGTACAGATCAATTTGCTATTATTTAACAAAATTACAAAATACCATATGTGGGCAATAAATTATAATTAATATCTTTATAAAATTATCTTTTAAAAACATGTCTTAACAACAATAAATAAATGCAATAAAATCAGAGATATATCTATATCTATATCTCTGAATAAAATGCACATAAACACCAGATATGCATAAAAGCTTTTTGTAATAAATATTATTTAATGGGCAAGAAATCACCTCTTATTTGACAGGTGTGAGCAATAAATTAGATACGTTAATACCTTTTTTGACATTAATGAAAAATTAGATAAGATTTCGTGCTATCTCACTTTAATTTACTATCTCGAACTCATTACTGTTTTTTCTATTCACCTTACATAAACCAAGCTCACACTTCCAATTCAGATTGTGAAATTGTCCCAGACGTAACTTTACTCTCTTTTTCTGCCTATTTATTTTTGATTTTTTTTTAATTTTCTTTCCGCTGTCTCTTTCTATTTTTCCTTGCTGTAGTTTTAAGGTCAACTCTACCGTAGTAACTCATGCTACATGAAAAATCGTTTTTTATTTTAGTTAGTCGTAGTCCTCTTGAAATTCGATAAAAAACAAAACAAATAAACAAGTGACATTAATGGTTTATGAAATAAGTACCTTCTGGCCGAGCAGTAAATGGCAGTCTAGGGGGTTCAAATTTGGTTCGAATATTATTACACACAAAAATGACCTATGTGAAGGCAAGATTTAACAATGTTTTTTTCTCCATAAAATTGTGGATCACCCTAGTATTACCTATTCTATAATTTTGAAAATTAATTCAAAACTATCCTCTCTGAACCAATACATCGTTAGACACGATTATAAAAAATTTCAAAGCACTTTTAAAGGTAAATTTTGATATCGTTTTTTTAAGCCTCATGGACGCTTATCAAAAATATGTCCTTTCAACCCAATTTAATTGTTGGGAATAACTAGAAGTCGCAGCTTAATCCGCCGTGTTTGAGCAATGTAAGGACATGGTTTAGGTCAAAAAGGGACAGTATACTGATCCTTTTTTGGCCTAAAACATATCCTTACAGTGCTCAACTATAGCGTCTTTTTAATCACTAGATTGAGCAGTACATGCATGTGCAGACCTTTCCAAATATGCGGTCAAAATGCAATGTGGCATTGGGGAGTCTCGCTAATACATAACCATTTTTTTTCTAACTAATTTCCTGATTTTTTCGTCCTTGCGGGCCTTTTAGAAGGTATTTTAAGTCATCATGAAATTGGCCAAACCCTTTGAAAAAAATTGACCAGGTCGGGGACCTTTATTGGTAGTGTGTGCCTACGAGAGTCTCGTTTTCAAGAGTCTCGCATGGTCTTGTCTCGTTTTCGTGACAAGACTCAAGACGATATTAGAACCAGACGAGACAAAACTTTTATTGGTCTTGTCTCGAGTTTCGTCTAGCGTCTCGTGCGAGAATCTCGTGGGTGAATATTTCTGCAAAGCAGTCACCTATCGACAGGCTGTTAAACTATTCTAACTTGGAATATTTTTTTTATACTTTTTTCTAAAGCTATACCGGTAACGATTAATATTACGCTTCTTCGCGCAAATATACCATTAAAACATGCTGCCAAATTGTTTTTAATATTTTCAATGATCTTCCAGTGAAAAACTGCTCCTCGATATTTTTTGCCGAAAAGATTTTGGAACAATTATTTATAATAATATTCAGTTTCAAACGGTTCCCGGTCACTTTCCCGAATGCAATTTCCCGACTGACCAATTTCCCGATAGACCATTTTCCCGACAAACCATTTTCCCGACGACGTTTTTCCCGACAGCACTCTTCCCGACAGACTATGTTCACGACAAAAATCTTATTATCCACTTAAGAAACGTTTTTCCCGATAGCCCTTTTCCCGAAAGATTATGTTCACGACAAAAGTTTTATTATCTAGTAAAGAAAAACATACCTGGTCAAAAATGATTTCGGTATCCGCTTGTTCCTTCTGGAATTCTGTAAGGGCCAATGGGGCGGGGTCGGTTGGGTTGGGTTGTTGGGTTTGGGTTGGTTTTGAAGCGGGCGGACTCGGGACGTTGGTTAAGGAAAAAGATCTGCTTCTCGTCCTAAGATTGCGTCATTGGATGACGTCACTCTGTTAAAATATATTGTGTCGTTTGTGGTAAAAATTATTTGTCTTAAAAATGACTTGTCGGGAAAATGGCTTGTCAGGAAAATGGCTTGTCGGGAAAACGACTTTCGGGAAAACGACTTTCGGGAAAATGGTGTCGGGAAAAATCTTGTCGGGAAAATGGTGTGTCGGGAAAATGGTCTGTCGGGAAATTGGTCTGTCGGGAAAATGACTTTCGGAAAAGTGACCGGTAATCGTTTCAAACAGGTATATTAGACGCCATTTAGGCAATAAAGCCCAGCAAAACAATTTTAACAATTATAATTTTTATAAAAACATTTGTCATTTTTCAATTGTTGTTAATTGTTAAAATTGTTTTGATGGGCTTTATTGCTTAAATGGATAGAGTATAGTCGTTATCTCTAGTCAAGATTAAACTTTTTCCAATCAAATTTTTAACTTTCCGATCTTCTCTGTGGTATTGTTTACATGGCTAATCCGATGGGTTTGATTGTGTCATATTTATTGTCATTATCCGTTGATTTTGGTCCAGGGTTCCTAAATTTATTGATAGTCCTGTTAATTTTGTATTTTAAATAAGTACCTTGGTTAATTTTGGGGTATGAAGTATTCCATTTAGGCAGTATTAATCAATTTCAGATTTTGTTGAAAAAAAAAATAATTTTACATCATTGTGGCATTTTTTACCTTATTCCTGAAATTACTATAGTCAAGTCAAATCCAAGCCGGACTCTACATAAACACAATCATGCGTTGTCTATGCTCTATTCACGTGATCGATGAAAATTGTTGCACTGGGCCGTATTAAAATATATTGAATCAATAATATTGATCATTTAATATTTTAAATTTATTTTTTTAAACTTTGATGAAAAGGTTTTAAAATATTTATAAAATTTATATTTTTTAAATTACGAAATTAACAAAATTTTGGGAAATAATTTCATTATTATTTTAAATTTATTTTTTTAAACTTTAATGTAAACTTTTTAAATTTTTTACGAAAATTATATTTTTGAAAATTATTTTAAATTTATTGTTTTAAACTTTAATAATTAAAGTTTAATGAAAACATTTATAATAACCTCTTTTATTTCCACACTTAAGTGATTTCTTTTAGACCGTTTTTTAACTGGGCTTAAGTCCTCAAAATGTTCGGCTTCGTCTGTGCTAGACATCGCACTTAATTGAATAATAATAATAACAATAAAAACCAAATAACCAAAAGAATGATAGCAATAACAACAACAAATAACGTTATATAACAAGTATTAATAATAAAACAATAACAAAAATAACCACAAAGATTAAAGCCGCGAAAACAAGGAAGTAATCAAACAATACGTTATTATTAATAACTTATTAATAACCGCAATGGACATAATGCGGCCCTGGCAAGAATTTTCGGCACGATTCACAACTCAGAATCGCCCAATAAGAACCGTTCTATCCACCTGCAAACGACTGATCACGCGTCTGGCGTTTTTTGTTTTAGTCCGTCTTGGATTTGACTTGACTTTAATTTACTAATGATTATAATTAGTTAGGTATTAGAATAAATAAATAAATACTTACAACTTTTATAAACTCCTTGCAAAATAACATACCAGCTCCTCTTACACTGAACATTTTTTTAGTACCACCGTCTGTTATTAAAACAAAATTTTCTATGATTTTTTCAAAATTGGTAGGGCGAAAAACAATGTTTATCATATCTGTTTCATCGTCCAAAATTTCAAAATATCTCGGATACACAACAAAATTATCTGTAGTTATATAGTTATTTTTAACCATAATCTAAAATATTTTGTGTTATTATACCGTACCTTCATTTGCAAGCTAACCATAGGGAAAATACATTGTAACTGGACCAGATAAGTCGCAGTCAAAACAAAGCGAGAACCTTCTCAGAAATGATTTGGATGCGTCGTGGAGACATGCGTACTAAAACAAATTTAATCACCAGGGTGGAGTCAGTCACTGACTGTCACTGACAGACAGACAGACTGTCAGTGTGGCTATGCCACTTGCGTTGTAAGCATTAATGTAGTATGCTCGAATGAATTCCTTACGTAAATTAAATTTTTATCCATTAGAACCAGTTTTTTATTTTTCGTTTTGTTTCTTTTAATACGATCTGTGTAAAAGAAATCAAATTGATTTTTATTAAAATTAGCAGAAGTTTAAAAAACTGACTCATAATCATATGAAATGTATGATTTTGTTATGTTTTGTATTAAAATTTAATAAAAGTGTACTCTGAAAAAACATTTAAAAATAAAAAAGAAATCCTAAATAAAAAACTAGAGACGGTTTTCAAAAGTACCTCCCCCTTGTGCCAAACAATATCCCAACCTATCATAAAATTCCCGCCGGACGTTTGCTAGCATAAGAGGAGTAATGGCCTGAAATTGGTCTTCAATTTTAATTTGAAGCTGATTTAGGTCATTAGCCCTCTGATGCTCATGTCCATATAGCCCCACAAAAAAAGTCATTCGGGGCCAAATCAGGTGACATCGCCGGCCACCGAATTGTGCCCCGTGTTGAAAAAATTTTGTTAGGGAATATTTGTTGTAAATATTCTACAACTCGTAGACTATTATGGGCTGGACATCCATCCTGCTGAAACCATGCATACATTGTCTAGGTTTGGATTAATAATAATAATAATAATAACGTTTATTGTTCAACAGATATAACATCCAATTACAGAACAATTACATAAAAAAAAAGAATAATAATAAAAATTCCTAATAACTATAAAATAATATTATACAAAAAATATAATAAAATCACGTAAAAAAAATGTGTACTTAAGTGATTTATTATAACTCCAATACTTTGAAAGTTTATATCACAATTATTGCAATATTAATTAAAATTATTGCACATAAAATAAATCGGGACTTAAGCATAACATTTGATTTAGCGTTTGGGCAATAAAATGTGAGGTTGGTTCGAGTGTTACGTGGTGTTAAAAAATTTATTTGATTTAATAATAAAGGGGCGTCTATTTTGTTATGTACCAAATTATACAAAAATTTAACACTTAATATAGTTCTTCTCAGTTGCAGGGAACTGAACCCAAATTCGTTCAAAAGAGCCAAGTGATCATAACCTTGAGATGGATACACATGGTTTTGTTTAAAAGACAAGAATTTTAAAAACTTACGTTGTATTTTCTCCAAACTATTTACTCCAAATTAGAAAACCGTACTCCAGCTTGGATCGTACAAATGAATAAAATAAAGTTTTAAACGCCATTTCACATTTAAAGTTTTTGGTGTTTCTAATTATGAAGCCTAGAGTTCTGTTAGCAGATGATGTTATGCTATTAATGTGGTCGAGAAAGTTAAATTCGTTGTCAAATAAGACTCCCAGGTCTTTAATGGCAGTTTCACGGGAAAGCAAATTTTGGTTTAAGGTGTAATCAAAGTTGCATTGACACGCAATGCAGGAATAATTTGGTTCTGCAATAAGTGCAAGTAAGATTTACCATTTAAATTGCCATTAATAATAAATGGTCCTACAATGTTATCTCCAAAAATACCAGCCCAGTTTTTCTGGGTACTGAGTACGCAAGTTTAACTGCCGGTACTCATTTTCAATGGCCCAGTAACGCAGAATAGACGGAAATGTGGATTCATCCGTAAAAACAATATTTTTTGTAAAGTTCGGATCCTCGTTTGCCATTTCCATCACGGTTTCACAGAATTTCATTCTGCGGTACTTGTCATCATCATAAACTTCCTGGTATTTGTAGGATTTAAATTTTTTTATGAACTTTGCCCACACTAACTCCGGTGTTTTCAGAAAGTTTGCCAACCGAAACGGTGGAATCTTGTTGTACCATTGCACAAACCATTATTTCCTGCAATTCAGCGTTGTCATTAATCCTGGGAACATTATGGCATTTACATGGTAAAAGGCAGCCTTTTGATTTTAAATTGTCATAAGTAGAGGAAATAGTTTTGGTACAAGGAATTGGGCGATCCGGGTATTTCACGTTTCCCGAATTTTCCCGAATTACCCAATAAATCATATCAAACTTTTCCTCTACAGTATAGTGATTCATTTTAAAAATCTATTTTATTTTTAATTGTTTACCAGATTTACACCGCACAAAATACAAAACAATAATAAAACATCGATGTATAAAGCAAGGTCAACTGTTACGGCGCATGCTAGCCTACTCGTCCACGCGTCCAAATCATTTCTACAACGTTTTTCGCTTCGTGCTTACTAAGACTTATCTGGTTCAGTTACAATGTATTTTCCCTATGGTTAGCTGGCAAATGAAGGTGTATATTCGAACCTCATTAGATTTCCACTCTTCTTCCGATAAAATACAGAATTTTCCAGTATTTCCAATGTTTTTAAGAACCAATGCATTTATTAACATATCCTTAACCAAGCAGCAGCCACAATCAACTAATAGCTCATCATTTATAGTCCACAGATCGTGTTCAGCAAATACTGATTTTTTAGTAATGTCTTCAGGGGATTTTATTAAACTAAGTTCAAGCGATATTATTTTACACTCTACTTTTATAGGAATTTCAAAAATTTGGTCAATTTCATTGCTCACTTTTACACAATCTTCAAAATTATTTAACCTGGTTATTTTTAAATCTATAGAAATTTTAAATTTTATTCCGGTAGGAGTCATTGAGTTGCTTGTGCTTTTGGTATATGCTTTTAAATTGTTGTTTTTTGGACTTGTACATATTTGAAATAAATGTGGGAATTTTGACATATTTCTAATTACAGCCGTTTTCTATAAATAGAATGAAAATTTTAATTTTCGAAAAGGCCCTGGGATTAATGGCTTCTTAAAAGAATATTTTAGGATAATGTTTATTATATAATTTATAATTATATTTAATAAAAATACCTTATAAATTTGTCCAAATTTGCAATCTCTAAAGAAAATTATCGGAGTTTCTAATATAATACCCATTTTGCTTTCAATCTCTTTTTTCCTGAATATAAATATATTTTATTATTGAGTGTTATAATAATAATTAAGTGTTATAAATACTGTATTATATTAATAGCCAATTGGCTTTAAAATAAATAAAACGAAAAATAAATGATAAAACACTAAACAAATTTATACATTTTTAAGCAAAATATTTATAATAGGTCTGTACAATTTAGCCGGCTAAAAAAGTTAGCTAAGTTAATTAGCTAGCTAACTGATCAGCTTATCCAATTTAACCGGTTAACTGAATTAGCTTTGCTAATTAGCTGGCGGCTTAACCGGTTAATCTAGCTTAGCTCAGCTAATTAGCTAACGACTAACCGGCTAATTAGCTGAGCTAAGCTAGATTAACTGGTTAAGCCGCCAGCTAATTAGCTAAACTAATTTAGTTAACTGGTTAAATTAGCTAAGCTGATCAGTTAGCTAGCTAATTAACTTAGCTAACTTTTTTAGCCGGCTTAATCGGCTAAATTGTACAGCCCTAATAATAACTAATAAATACAATTTTATTTATTTTTTATTCTGTATTAGGCCTTTTTAACTGCAAATAATTAAACGGTAACCTTAGTAAAAATATCTATACAGTTATACTCTACGGGTTTACGCACAGAAGACTTCTGTGGGTTTACGTTTCCAAGTTACAGGGTGTTACAATTTTTAATAACTTTCAAACACTAATATACTACCTATATATAGGACACTGTAGGTAAGGAAACGAACTGTTAGATATCGATTTATTTGGCAAAGTGTTTCAATGCTTATTATGGCATTTTCTTATACTAGATCATTAAATACATGAAAGCTGTGAAAAAACTGGTATTTTTAAAACAACCATTATTATTGTGATACTTTAAAGATTTATTCATTTTTAACACTTAAGCCTGATTTATAGATTGCCTTACTTCCTTCCTTCCTCCCGTAGAAGATGAACAATACAAAAATCGTTGTGCTGTTTAAAGATTCCCGTACGGGGCATTTTTTTATACTAGATCATGAAATACGTGAAAGCTGTGGAAAAACTGGTATTTTCAAAACAACCATTCTTATTGTGATACTATAAAAATTTATTCATTTTTAACACTTAAGCCTGATTTATAGATTGCCTTAATTCCTTCCTTCCTCCCGTAAAAGATGAACAATACAAAAATCGCTGTGCTGTTTAAAGATTCCCGTACGGGAATCTATAAATGGCATTGTATTGTTTTGTATTGTTCATCTTCTACGGGAGGAAGGAAGGAAGGAAGGCAATCTATAAATCAGGCTTTAAACATAACCGGTAAACGTATAAATATGATTTTATTTATGATTTCTTTTGTTGACTATACTTTGACAGGTACCCACTTAACCTAAAATTACTTAAAAATGCCAAGTTTTCAAAATACTGCGTTCCGCATCAAATGTTAAAGTGTGTAGAGCATAGAACATATGTTTCTTTTTAAAAGAAACGTGGGCCTCAAACAAGCCAAGATCCTTTCAAAAAACCTATCTGCGTAGATAGGTACGTTGTTTTAACTAGGATTTCGGTCTTAGCTCGCCCTGGAAAAGACGTACGGTACAAACTTTTACCCACTTTATCCAAAATTGTTGAATTTACAAAAATTTAACCGTCAATGCCATTAACGTAATGGGTAAAATTTCTCATTTTTTTATCAGGATGCGTGTATTTTATGTGGGTAATATTTACATACTTTTTTAAAAGAGCCCTTTCTTCTGTCCATTTAATTTCATTTTCTATATTTGTGTCCGATCTAAAAATGTAAAATAAATTAAATAAAAAATAAAATTATCTCCCAAAACAAATCAATAGAGTTGGATCTTAATTATTATTTAATTTAAATAACACTGTAGGTATTTGTAAAAATAAAAAAGGTTTTCCCATGCAGAACAGGTTGATAGACTTAAAATTAACGTCGAACCAATTTCGTTAATTTTAACGTAATTAAATAAATCTTAAATCGAAGTTGTTAATTAACATTTGTAAAATACATGTAAAAGATTTTTTTATTGGATTGATTTTAATCGAGAAAATTTAATAGTTGATAGAACTCGCAAAAATAATAAAGTTTATAAAAACTTGCATTGGTTGATAAAAATTCCATTTTACATTGTGGATGGATCTTGCTAAAATCATTGGACGTTAATACTAGTAAGTCCTGATTAATAAGGACTTATGACCATAAGGGCGGTAGGTTTAGTTGTAAGTCTGCTTTAGTTTAAAAAAGAAAAAGCTACGTTTTTAAGATACAAGGTGGTTAAGTTTTTTAAAAAAAATTAAATTTTTCAAAAATTTGAAAAACTTCTGTGTTGAATTTAACTTGTCAGTTTTTTAGTAATGGATAAAATACTTAATTTAATGTAATTTAATTTAATTCAGTTAATCCAGTTTAATGAAAATCAAGCAGGATAGAAAAAAATTAGACCTAGCAGTTATAGGTATTTTTAATTGCTTAATCGAAATATAACATTAAACTTGGAACTCGTATAATTTTATAAGTTTAACATAGCAAACAAAGCTTTAAAGTGTAAAGCATACAAGTCCATATAAACTTTTCTTCTTATTTTTGCGAGTTACATTGACTATTAATTTACGAATAAAATTTGAGATATAATAACCCATAATTAAAATGTACAAATTATCCAAATTTCTGAATTTATTGATTGTTTAAGTTTAAATTCAGTTATAAAAACCTATTTTCCAAAATTTCAATTTGTCCTTTCCTGGGCTTAATATAAGGAGGACATGTACCTTTGGGTAGCTTACTGAAATAAAACGCTGGTTTATTTATGAATTAGAAACAAAAAATGTAACTTACTTAAATTTGTCTTTTAATTTTTTATTTTTAACTTTTAAATGGCGATCTGTAAACCTAAAATCTAAAAATTTAAATAATAATAATGTTTTATTATTTTTACTAAATTAATTACCCAGTGTTCGTTCCACAATATGTGACAATAGGTCTCTTTTCTGTATCAATCCATAATTATTGGCTATTTCTGTATCAATATCTTGAAACACTTTCACGTCATTTTTTATTAAAAGCTTTTCTTTGGCACATATTTCCTTTTTAAGTTTAGATTCACCTTCTTCATAAATTGCTTGTTGTGACATAAAGAGACCCTCTGCTGCATCCAAATTATATGTTTCGTCATTAAAAACATTCTCAAACTATTTTTAAATAGGTAGATTCGGATTTAAAATCATTAGTTATTAAACCTATTAAATTTACCTACCTCTTGAACTTTCCCAGCAATATCATTTAAGTTAAATATCTCTTTACATTCGTACTTAATTACATTTTTTGAGATATTTTTTGGAAATAAAGGTTTTGATAAAGGTGTTTGAAATTCGTCTATTAAAATATTGGAAACATCGTGATTTGTCACATTTTCTGGAATAACCGGATAGGGATTCATATTTAAAATATAATATATTTTTCAAATATGCTCATATGTAAATGTCATAAAAGACACAGAAGTCAAAATTTAGGTTTTAACCATTATATTTATATATGATTTGTATTGGTAAAAATATACAGGGCCGCCAGGCGAGAGAAGCATAATTTTAGTCCGACAAGTACAAGTCATTTTTGAGTTAATCACCCGCCACCCATACCTATGGTTATTTAGCATTAAAGTTTAAAATTTGGATATATACAGGCTATAGCCAGAGTATACGCAGTGTATTTTATGCCAAAATTTTACAAATTTAAAACGGTTGTTATGGTAACAAAGTAAACAAGTTTATGGCAATGGCATTTTCCAAAGTTTCAATTATATATTTTAATATTTCCAATGATTGAAAAAAAAATTGAAAGGCCTTTTTGTTCATATAATATAATTAAATATAAATACCATACATTAATTTGTACTATTTTTAAATAGGTCATACACCTCACCTTTTTAACATCCTTTAAATCAGCCCATTGACATACTTTTACTACTTTCAAGGCTTTTGTTAAAATCTTTATATAAAAATGGGTAGTTAATCAATGACATATCTACAGGGATTTATCGGAATTCTCTTTCAAGTACACCCTCAATGGAATTAAAAGTACAAAAAGACATAACAGGTAGTTTTGCTCGCCATTTACCTACCTGCAAAAATAAAATAGGTAATGAGTACTTTTTAATATAAATTATATTTTTTAATATCAAAATTTAGATATGTACAGGGTGTTTTTTATTTGATGCTAATACTGAATGGGCTCATCCTTTGATGATTTTAAGAAAAAATGTTTATACCAACTTATTAGGTCCCAAACTGATTTATTTACGAGATAAGAAGTTCAAAATTGAAAAAATGTTGTGAGGTGAAAATTTTAATTGAATAGTTTTAACGATAAAAT